ACCGGGGGGGCGTGGCCCCTGGGCTCGCCGACAGCCTTCAAAAGGCGGCGCGCTGGCAGCAGCACCCGCTCGCCTCTCGGCCAGTGCGGAGTTCCCGACCCGCTGCCGCCCCTCTGAGCTCTCTGCGCCCGCGCTGCCCTCTGGACACAAGAGACGAGGTGCTGATTGGAGGCCTGCGGAGGTAAGTGTCACTTAGATCCTCTCCTTTTGCAAGCTGCGGTCTGCTCTCCCTGATGTCGGGGCAGCTCTGTCTGCATCTCAGAGCCTTGTTTTGAGGCATGCCCTTTTACAGACGAAGGAACCGGGCCGACGACTAAGCCACTTCCCCGGGCTCACAGCTAGGAAGCCGAGGGGCCAGGACTCGGTCTGTCTGGTCTCAGATCCCTGCTCCCGGGAGGCTGGATGCTCTTCTGCCTTCCTGGTGCAGTTCGCGACCATTTGTGGCCTCTGGTGTTCGGGATGGGCGTCATTGACGTGGATGTGGCAAGCATTGCAAAGTGTTCCACCCACATGTGGAGGGTGGGTGATTGGCAGGTGCCTTCTACCTGACAGTTTTTAGGGCCACACCTCTTATGGTCTCATTTGCAGCAAACCTGCAAAGTGGCCTTCTTCCCATATTTCAGAGGAAGACACTGAAGGTCAGAGAGGTGAAGTGAGTTGTCCAGGCAGAGCCAGAGCTGGAACCCAGCACTCTCTGCTCCACAGCTTCAGGCAGGTGTGTCCAGGTGTGAGGCAATTTCAGGGAACACATTTCTGGACCTCTAGCTGGAGTGGGCATCTACGTAACTCCTTGCGTGGGGAGAATTGGTCGCGTGGCTCTAGGGTCCTGGGAGTGGAAATTCCCAGTCCACTCCAGGTGAGAGCCAGGACCAGCCCCTTGTGTGGTACAGACCCAGAGCCTTCCTTGCCAAGGGCGGGCTGGAGAAGGAGCTCGGAAGGGCTTAGCCAGGTGTACGCACTGCAGTCCAGCTTGAACTGGGCATCTTTCAACCAAAGGCTGAGCTGCTGGTCTGACTGAGAAAGCCTGAGGGGCAGTGGGCATGCCCAGCCCGCTCAGCACCTGGAGTGGACTGGGAATTTCCACTCTGAGACTTTGGCCTCCTTGCTCTGGTGGGATGGGGTGGGCCTGTCTTTTCCGTCTAGGATCTGGAGTGTGACCATCCTACAGAGCAAGACCAGGGATGTGCCCCCAGCCCAGATCACCTGAGAGGGATGTCCCAGGGGTCTTTATGTTGTGTGAACCGGTTCTGCTTCTGCCTGGCCTAGCTGTTTGCACGTGTGGAAGGGGCAGGAGGTGTGGGCTGTGTTGCTGAGGAGCTGGGCGGGGCCCATCCACACACTCTGCCCACATGAGCAACCCTGCTCACACACCTGGGCAGGGGCTTCTTGGTCCCCACCTCCCAACTGAGGAATCAAAGGGTCAGCAAAGTGAAGTGTTTGCCCAGGAGGCCCAGCTGGGTGTGATGGATCTGGCTTGAGACCCTGCACACTTGACCTGGGTTCTACCTGTCCTTTCCTTTGTGGGTCTAGGGATGGAACCAGGGCCTGGCACATGCCAGGCAAGTGCTCTGCCACTGAGCTGCCCCCCAGTCCTGGGTCCTGCCTCTTTAAGCACTTCTCTGTCTCACTGCTAACTCCACCTCTGAGCCTGACCTTCACACAGGTGTTCTGTCTGAAAGGGGCGCCAGGTAAAGAGCTGTATGGAGTGCCCAGGGAGGAGACAGGAAGGGGAGTCCCCTCAGGGGTAAGAGTAGGGGTCGTGACAGCCACGTTTATAATCAGTGCTGGCAGCTGGCCCTGTCCTGGCTCTTACGTGGACCAGACGGCCAGGTTTCCAGGAATAATCTCGCCGGCTGCCCTGTGAGGGGGAAGCACACTGAGGCTCAGGGTGAATTGGGCGGGGCTCTGCCCAGGTGCTGGAGGAAGGGGCCACTTGGCTGCCGTAGCAGAGCCTGCCAGGAGACCAGGCTTCTGGTGCCAGATGGGTCCTCTGCGTTGCCGGGGCTCTGGGTCCCTGGCCCGGGTTCGGGCGGGGCAGGAAGGGCTCCGCTCTGCCAGCAGGCACTGGTTCCGCCCGCTGAGAGCCCTGCCCGGGACCTGGACCAATACTGTCTCCCAGAGTCCTGCCACGGGGCTGGAGAGGAGAGTTGGCACCCCAGCCAGGTCTGGAGCTGGGGAAGAAGAGTGTAAGGCCCCGGAGAGCCCCTGCACATCACCCCTTGCCATCCCCGAGGGGAGATCTGGCCCGGTGTGGGTTGCACCTGGAACGTTTTAGAGGTGGGACCCCCAGTGCCGACCTCCTTGGCCTGAGGGGGCTGGAACGTCCCTCTTCTCTGTCACCAGCGTAATCTGCTGTGTGGGGAGGTGCCGCCGTGTCTGCTGCTCCCAGCTCAGGAGGATTTTTTTTTGCAAACTCACTGGTTTTTGATCAGTCGCAGATGTGCAGACCCAGCATCAGTCAGGGGCTGAGGGCTGGTCAAGAAGGGAACACACAAGGCAGGCGTGACTTTCTGTCACTCCACTCAACTCCGGAGATGCTCAGACTTCCCCGGGCTGCAGACCCGGAGCACCTTCCAAGTCCCAGGGGAGCATGCTCCCCTCCAGAGCACGCAGGGTCAGGCATACGGGGGGGGGGGGGGGGGGGGGGCTTTGGCAGTACCAGCCATATATTTTTCTTTTTTCTTGAAAAATATTTTATTACGGTGAAATACACAAAAGCAGACAGGCATGGTGCTTCACATCTGTAATCCCAGCTACTCTGGAGGCTGAGGCACGAGGATCCCAAGTTCGAGGTTAGCTCAGCAACTTAGTGAAACCCTGTCTCAAAATAAAATTTTAAAAAAGAGCCGGGGGGACTGGGGCTGTGGCTCAGTGGTCGAGCGCTCACCTAGCGTGCACGAGGCACTGGGTTCGATCCTCAGCAGCACAGAAAGAAAGAAATAAACAAAGATATAAAGTAAATTTTAAAAAAAGAGCTGGGGATGTGGCTCAGAGGTAGAGCACCCCTGGGTTCAACCCCCAGCACCACCAACAACAAATCCACATGAGCACGCAGCTTCCCCTGTTAACCCCTTGAGCTGTGCCATCCGGTGGCTTTCACAGATGGGCAGTGCTGCGTGACCCTACTGCTGTCTGATTCCAGAGCGTTTCCGTCATCCCATCAGGGACCTGTGCTGTGAGCGGCCCTCCCCAGCCCAGACAGCCCCTGCCTGCCTCTGTCTCCGTGGCTGGTTCTGGACACTTCCCATAGGTGGGGCCACGTGCCGGGGTGTGGCCGGCTGTGTGTGGACGTGGCCCTGGGCACAGTGTTGTCCAGGTCCATCCTCCTTACAGTTTACATATCACAGCATCATTCCTTTTTGGTGGCTGAAGATGTTCCACCGTACGGCTGGTGCCCATCTGTGTGTCCCCACCTCCACTGAGGGCAACCCAGGCTTTCCCCAGCTGGATGACACGGGCAGTTCCACCGTGGGCACGTGTCTTCACCGCTCCTGCGTGTAGACCTCGGAGTGGACTTGCTGGGCCTCATGGGACTTGCTGACCTCACTGAGGAGCCCCGGGCCTTTTCTGATCTTCCTCTTGGAGGAAGCCCCCACCTGCTGATCCCGTTCTGGTCCCTGGCCACCCGTGTGGGGACAGCCCGGGCCTGGTGCGTGGGCAGGGCGGCTGTCCCACCTGGGTCCCGGCAGCCCCTGGCAGGGTCCTATCTGAGGTGCTGCTGGGGAGCGCAGCCTCGGTGCCAGGCTGGCAACTGCCAGCGCTCCTCGGCAGACCCCCCCTTCAAGGCTGTGGGGACATCGTGGTCCAGCCAGAGGGAGATTTATCTTTGATTATCTCAAGTGCGGCTTCAGCTTAGCCAAAAACCACAGGATCAGGAGAAGAGAGCCTGGTGAAGGATCTTGCAACTTCTGGGCCCTTGTTTTTAAAGTAGGATAGATTATGAAATCCCACGTTTCCAGCCCGGGATTCTGGCCTGTCTCCCATCTTGCGTGCAGAGTGGCCGGGCTCCAGAAGGAAGCAGAATCACGCTCCCATTTTGCACACAGTCGAGGGGCCTGGAGCTGACCCTCCCCCAGTCCTTTCAGACAGGAAGGAGCCCGTGGGTTCCCTAGATGGGGAGCTGGTGGCCAGCTGACCTTGTGACTGACCTCTAAGAGCTCAGGGGCTCCTAGAAGAGGTGAGACCAGCAGAGGAGGGGAGCTGGCAGGGTGCACCAGGGGGGGGCCTCGTGGCCAAGGCCTGAGGGTCAGGGCACCACCCAGGGGGCAGCTCACACCGGAGAGTGACATGGAGGCGTCTGCCTTCGAGGACAGTTTGCTCTGGAATGAGCTAGTTCCACGAAGTTTGTGGGGGGCTCCGTCCCCAGGCCCACAAGGGGACTGAGCTTGTGCCGACCTGCTCCGTGGACCCCTCCTGCTCACCGGGAGGCTTGCCTGGGGCGGGGCCCTCTGTGCCCACGCCCTCCCAACCCTGACCGCCCCTCACAACCCAGAGCCTGGGCCCTCCTGGCGCCCAGCAGGGAGCAGGGCCTTGTCCTGGTTTTCTTGGGTTTGGCCACTCCTTCCTCCCCTCCAGGCCGCAGGACGAGGTTCTCCGCAAGTGGCGGGGGAGAAACTGACCTTTTTGAAGCAAATATTTTGGAACCTCAAAAGCAAACTGACTTAAATAAAAATGTGAAACATTTGCTGGTACAGGTAGATGTTTGGGAGGGGAGAGAAGCTTGGGAGGGGGCCATGCAGGGTTGGGATCCGGGAACCCAGGATCCAGGTGGAGGAGCTCAGGGAGGAGACGGGCTGTGGCGGTCTGAGCAGTGCTCCTCCACGCGGGGCCACCCAGGCCCTCCGAGCCAGAACCTGGGGGCGGTGGGTGCTTCACGTGGCCCCCAGCACTCGGACAGGCTCAGGTGTGGGGCCCACGGTCCTGGAAAGCTGGCAAAGGAGAACCCTGGGCCCTGGCACAGAGGAGGGGTGTGGAGGGACTGGCTGGTCAGGGCAGGGGGGAAGCTGAGGGAAGGGTCTGGTGACAGGGTCTGATGTGACCAAAAAGAAATTGCCGCGCAGCAGTGGGGCGGGTGGCTACCCTCCGGAGCCAGCAGCCAGGCCGGGTGTAGTTCAGTGGCAGAGCATGAGGGGAGCGTGTGGGAGGCCCTGGGTCTGGTCCCAGCACCAGAGGAGAAAACAA